GGCATACAGGAGTGTTTACATTCGCTTCTTTTTTGTCATGGAAAGGGGGGAAAAACCTACCAGAGAAACGCGGTTCTCTTTGGCCACCGCTGCTTTGAAAAGACAGTCAGGGAAGCCGGGGGGGAAATAAAACTTTTAAAATGAAATAGACTTAGCTGCGAGTCGGTCACTCTGGCGACCGACTAGCAGGAGCGTTTTAAAAAGCGTTTAAATTGTGTTCCTCGGATTTGGAGGGAGGAATATTCAGAAGTCAGTTGCGGGAGAAAATCTCCGTTTTGAACAATTTGGGCGGATTTAAGAGTGGGTCTAAACCCTTTTCCTAATTTGAAATCCTCGGGGCTTTCTTTCTTTCTTTCTTTCTTTCTTTCTTTCTTTCTTTCTCTCTTTCTCTCTTTCTTTCTCTCTTTCTCTCTTTCTTTCTCTCTTTCTTTTCCTCCCCATACTTACTATCTATCTATCTATCTATCTATCTATCTATCTATCTATCTATCTATCTATCTATCTATCTATCTATCTATCTATCTATCGTCTTCTGTAAAACCCTCCATCCTCTCTCAATATTGATGGGGATTAGCCTAATCTACCCTATGCGGGGAAGTTATTTTCATCCTACCATGACCGGGAAATCTTTGTCCCCTTTTCAGTACGACCAAGGTGACACTGAACCAAGCCCTGTCTTTCAGCCAGCGAGCAAATATTGTTTCTATGTTCACATTTTTCAGCGGTTTCCACGTGGACCGAGTCCGGATGGTTGCGAAGAGTCGCTGCTTTTAAGGAGGGCGGAATGGGCGCAGAGGGGGGAGGCGGGGAACGCTCCGAGCGTTTTATTTAAAAATGCCAAACTCTGGTGCAAACGGAGACCCTGTTGGATTTTTCAACTCCGGGAATTTGGCAGAAGAAAAAGAAGAATTTGAGGCAGGAGGGAAGAGACTTAAAAAAATTAGAGACGCCTTCACACATTTGCAAAAGGCTCCCCCCCACCCCAGCTATGTAAATACACCCCCTCTCTGGTCCCTTCGTCTGCGTTACCCTCCCATTCTCCAGGTCTAGGGGCTTTGATTTTGCTCCGGCAAAGGACGCAGGCTGAGGTGCGCCTCCATACCGGGGCCTTTCCCTTTAAAACGGCGATCTAATGAACAGATGTCCTAGAATCCGGCTAGCTGGCTAACCTCTTCCCTGCAGTGCCCCTTGGCTGGCAGTTGGCACGGAGGCGCGCCTGGCATGATGCTCCAAAAAGAGAACCACTCACTGGTTTCCCACCGCCGACCCCAGTGAACCAGCCTGCCCGCGAACGGGAACGGTTTCCAGCTAAACTCGCTTGCCAGGGCGCCGGGCAGGTTGGCCCTTTGGAAACAGCCAGCCCCAGGGGCAAGAGCCAGCCCTAGTGAGGAAGAGGGAAATGGGTAGGGGTTGAAAATGTGATTCTGAAAATCCAGGCTCTGCTTAGGCGCCCCCCCAGCAAGACTGAAAAGTGAGCACAACTTTTTTTTTCCGTCTTTTC